AGTGAGTTTGTGAGCGAGGCATCACCCACGAGACGTATTGCCCTTTTTGGTCAGAATCCAACAGTTTCAGGGTATGTTTGGGTGCTGCACTCCAAATATGAGAACAGTATTTCAGGACAGGTCGGATCTGTGCCTCATAGATCATAAGCAGCTGACTGGAAGTGAAATAGCTCCTGGCCCGATTCAGAAACCCAAGTTTTTGGGATGCACATTAAGCAATTGATCTCAAGTGATTTTCCTTTCCGATATTTATGACAGGGTAATCATGAAAAACAACAATCAATACTCGAATCAATATTTCCAACATCAACACCCGGTATCGAAGCATTTCAGCAGGACCTGAGTTTATATGAACTTCTCGTCTTCGGATCACGCAAATAATCGCTTCTCGAAGTATTGCCAGATACTTAAATAATACCCTGTATACAGAGTACATCGTCATTATAAATTATGGAGCACTGAAATAAACATGATCCTGAAATTTGGTAGGGACGGTGTAAAAAAAATTGAATCCAACTAAAATATATACCTTATTGTGAAGCTACCAGGTTTTCCAGAAGTGACCTCATCTTTTTTATTTTCTATAGAACAACCTGTATTGTACAGCATTTTTGAATTCGTCTCCTGATTCTTATTCAAATTCGTGTATTTCACCCTATACCTAAAATGAACTGTTTTAATAGATATTCGAGTTTTTCTAGAAGAAGTGAGAAATGTAACTTTTCTGCATAATAACTGCCTTAAATTTTAGATTTATCCTATATAGTAGACTGTGCAAAATATTCTATTCATATTTTGGCGAATGATCCTGATGCTCTTTCATATTTTGGTGAAAGAACCCGATTTGTGAAAAAATATTAGGACATTTCCGCCAAAAGGTGAAATTGAACTATTGAAATTTCAAGAATTATATAATTTTGATGCACTGGTGTATAATTATCTCCGTTAACTTACCTATCATAATGTTAAAGAAGTACCTATTATATTTACTAAGATGAAAATGTATAAATAGCAACCAAAGTCGATCAACAACAGAATAGATTTTTTCTGACAGTTGGCCACTATGATAGTTTGTTGTGGTTATTTATATCCTATATATTTGTGACGCCTTTTATGTTTCTCATATTCAAAACAGGTAATTCATTAGATTAATTCAAGATATTTCATGTCGATGAATTGATGGTATAATATACAGTGTATACAAATTAAGTCATTAAGTGTTGCAGTCACTATTGATATTTTTGAAAGTTCTTCATGAGCTTCTTTTTTATCTAAAACTTGGAGTTTCAACATGAAAGAATGAGATAGCCATAGGTTCCCACAAGAAATAATAGTTTTGGAATAATGAACATTTGTAAATTATTATTATTATTTTTGGTCCAGTTCATTGAGAAAACCATAATAAATGGAACACAATGTATTTCATTTACCTACCCTAACTTTTTGGAAGCTCTAAAGATTTTTTGTAATATATTTATGAAGAATAAAGAAGTTACATCAAGGGGAGCGGCGGATTTTTGGTTCTTACTGTAAAATACACCCCGGTACAGAGTCTCTCAGTTCTCGAGCTTTTCAAAAACCATATTTTGAGACTTTCTGATGCATAGTCAGTTTTGATTTGGTGACGGTATATCATTTTTATAGGTGCAAACGAACGAATATTTGAGGTAACATTTTAGGTCCATAGAAAGAGTTTTTAATTAATTTCAGGTGTTTCCAACAGAACGATGCTCTGACTATGCCAATGAGAAAATATCTGCTCAGAAGTTGTTTGTTGCAGTAATCGTAGTGCGAGAAAATCTCAGTGTTACAGTTACCAAAATTTGTTCGTGCTGATAGGTAAAAGCAGTGAAATTTTCGGAATTAGTTCATTCCATTGAAACTGACAGATGCTTTTATGCCACACACTGTATTAGAGGGCTTTTCGCTAGATAATGTGATAATTATTTTTCAAAATTCCACCAAATTCCCTTTATCGAATTCCTTTTCGTGGTATAATGTGTGATTGTGTGCGAACAAAATTTGCCTGAATAAACATTTGCTTTTAATAATCGAAAAATGTAATATCGCATGTTCACAATCATGGATACATCAACGTACTGGAATTATAATGAATTTTTTTGGATGCAAAAATGTAGGTATCTGTCAGTTGTCATCTCGATTGTCACTGTTGTTAATCAGGCCTCTTTTTCATAATAATTAACAACCACTGTGCTTCTACAATGTTGCCTACTTGAAACTTGACCATCCCTTCCCCAAAAGACCCAAATTCCGTACTATTACGTGATGATTTTCCTGAACTAAGGTTAATAGAAGAATAAAACCATGTATGTCTTGATGATGATGAAAATTGATTTCTCAAGGTCACACCATGATTTTATGATCAATAATAGAAGAAGAATAAGTAGAAAAATTCTTAGTCGTCTTCACAGATGTAATGATATATCCCAATACCTGGTATAGTATACATGTTTGGAGTCTGAGTAGGCTCATTGTTCATCTTCAGCTAATCGATAAGGAAATTCAAAACTCTACAACAAGATGAGCATCTGTTTGGTCTCGAAACATATATCTATGTACCACCAAGTGATAAGGATAAAAAAACATACACATTTCAAATATATGAATACCAGTGACAGTTAGAATTTTGCATTTCTTGAAAATCGGTCTACAAGAAGTTCTCCTGGGCATATTAAACATAAAGTGTAAGTTCAAAAGTTGTTGTGTATTCAATAAGGATCTTATATTTCTCAATAGAAATGAAAGAAGAGATAGTTTTCAAACAAGATTAGAGCATTGAGATCCCCATAGAGACACCTAAAAATGTGACAGTTTTCTTTTGTTCAACATTTGCATTATCAACGACCAGATTCATATGTCCTGCACTTTTTTGCCATGCATGAAATCTCACTAAGTTAGTTTTAGTTGGATTGAGGTAAAGATTATTGAAAGAAAACCAGGCACTGAGAGAGTCCAGTACTACACTACTCTTGGCAGCAAAATTGCCATCACTTTTGTCTGATATTATCAGAGATACACCATCAGCATATAATATTAAATAATGGTATTGGGTGATATGCTATTTATTCCATTTATATATATGATGAACAACATAGGGCCCAATATCGATCCTTGTGGCACCCCCATACACTTCACAGATCCCAATAATGGTGTGTGCTGGAGCTGTGGGGGAAATACCGCTGCTCCAAAGTGACCCTGGTTCACTCAACAGGGTGTCCCAAATTCGAGGGGTATCATTGGGATCTCGGTAACCGTAACAGATACGAAAGGGGTTGAATTAGGACAAAGTTGGACACTTAATTGTAAAGTGGAATATGTCGTTGGATTCAGAATTGGAATTAGATTTTTTAAGGGGCAGGGAGGGTTGTTCCGTATCCAAGTGGGCAACATTGAGATCGAGAGAGAACCACCTCATTGCGGTCATTGTAGGCCACTAGCGTCTAGAGACAGGAAGCAACAAATAATCATCGCGGTGGGGGAATACAATTAAAATGGCGAATCACTATATGTCGGCTTCAGCAGTGAATGCCTCCACAGTCACAGTACTTTCCTCTGCATATAAAAGGAAACTACTTTTTTAATCAATCTAGCCTTTAGTGTGATGAAATTTAGGAAAAAATCGTGTTTATTCACTAGAATTAGTAGACAACTAATATTCCAATCTAATTTGACTGTTTATAGAACAATAATCCAACCACAGTTTGACTACTGTGCTAGTCTGATATCATTACTAGACAGTAATCTCTACCCAAAACGGAGGTGAGTATATGCGTTTCTTAGCAAAATGTAACATAAGTATACTCCTATTTTATCAATGATCAATATTCTGAAATGGATGATAAAAGATAGATTACGGAACGAGATTTGTAAGAACAATGAACTCTTCCATATATAAGAATTTAGTCGCTGTATCCGCGCTGTAACGTGCCCCCACCACGATGTTTCTCTGTTGCTTCCGGTCTATAAACCTTTTGCAGTTGTATCTCAGAAAGCGTCAATTGTCAATTGTATTCAAGAAAAGTCAAAACAATTTCAGAAAGCGTAATTGTATTTCAGAATAGTCAATTGAATTTCAGAAAATATCATTCGAAATACAATGGTGGACTGATGATGAATTATTGACATTGAATTACTCCACTGTGCCGTTAGGGACCTAAATTAATTTGCAACATTTCTCACGTTTTTTTATGTAAATATGCGTTGTTCAAAATCGTTGAATTTCAGACCTCATTTCTAACGGAACGTCATGGCCGCCATTTGGCGATACGTCGAATAAATGATGACGTCAGTTTTTATGCTGATTCGTTATTGGTCAGTTAATCTTCCATTCCCACTCATATAGCAAGGTTGTCAAGTCACCAATTAAAATCAAGTTTTCAAAGAAATTCACCGAAAGAAAGAAAGATATTTGAGTGATGAATCTATTCAAGAAATGAAAAACTAGTATACTGAATAACAATTCAGAATATTAACAAACGAAGGTTATAGTACACAGTCTTTATTACGAGCAAATTCTCAAACGTTTTCGGCTACAAGCCATCATCAGGAGTAATTTCTGAAAGTGAGTGAAGATTAGAAAATCTGAATTGAAGTTATGTAATGGGTTAATAAATTTGATAAATTTTAATAAAGTTCTACTCACTTGTCAGAAAGTTTTTACAAAAGATTAAAGCACAAAAAGAACATTCTTATGTGCTCAGCACTGGAAAATTCAAGTTTTTCGAGAAAAATAAGTACATTGTTCAAAATTGAATAGAATAAAGTAAAGAAAAGCAATTTTACATGTGCTCTTACATAACTTCAATTCAGATTTTCTAATTTTCACTCACTTTCAGAATTTACTCTGTACACACAACCTTATCTTTTGATGGTTTGAATAACAATTGACGCTTTCTGAAATACTCCTGGAAAAGGTGTAGACGCTTCTATTGTAGATCGTAGGCTTCTGGCGTCAGCGTGAAAAAAATCGCCGCCTCGAGCTGCGCCGGCGCAGGCGCGGGGGCAGTGGCGTGCTGCCACGAGGAGGGGGATGGCGGGGGACGGCGGGGGGGCAGCGGGGGGCGGTGCGGGCTGTGCTCGATGGTGGCGCGCGCGTTCCGCCGCGTGGTGTGCGGCGGCGCGGGCTCGAGTCGACGCAGCAGCGGCGAGGCCTACCAGGAGCTGACTGCGCCTGCGCAGGACGAGGAGAACGGGCTCGCGGTAAGTAAGCTTTGACCTATTCTCGCTTATGGTTTTTTTTTGTCGGGGGGGTTGAAATTTTTTATTGGCACCATACAGGTCTAATCTTCCATATGATAGTATGGGAATATGGGAATCCTATGACTCTAGCCAGGGTGTATTCTATCTCACCTAGTAGTTTTTATTGTACCAACTCCATTATCTCTGTACCTTGAACAAGCCTACTTATACAAATTCTTCACTGGATGTGAGTTGACTACTTCTGGTTCGCCGACTGGTTGCCCAAAAATCTTCTGTCTATGCGATCCAATGCCTCGCATCTGTTTTTAATCTATGGTGATACTGTTTCTGGTTCGTTTCCGCATAGTCTGCAGTTTGGGTCACCATCATACAGTCTCATTCTGATGAGGTGCTCCTTTACTGGCGCATGGTCAGTCATGAGTCCCGTGACAGTTTTTATTCGGTTTTTATCTATACTCTTTCTCCGACTGGTTGCCCAAAAATCTTCTGTCTTTTGCGATCCAATGCCTCGCATCTGCACAGTATATGTGATACTGTTTCTAGTTCCTTTCCGCATACTCTGCAGTTTGGGTCGCCATCATACAGTCCTATTCTGATGAGGTGCTCCTTTACTGGCGCAGTCATGAGTCCGGTTGTTCAAGTTGAGAGCAAGTCTACATTTCGTTTATGACTTGGTTCCTTAATGTATTGTTTCCCATGTCTGTTTCTTGGGATGTTTTGCCAGTATCTCTTATGTTCTGCCTGAATCAATTCTTCAACTGACACGTGCTGTATGTTTTGATACTCCAAGAGTCTGTCCTGTATCTGGCTCGCTGTCCGACCCTCTCCTTGCAAGTTCGTCAGCTTTCTTATTGCCAGCGATCCCTTGATGTTCTGACACCCAGATTAGCTTGACGCAATTTCGGTTTGCCAAAAAGGTCACAGTTTCCTCTTACAATCCCATACTAGTCGAGATGTCACTTTCTTGCTTTCTATATTGCCTTTAGTGCCGCTTGACTGTCTGACATGCGGATCTGCTCGTTTTCCACGGCTCTCCTGTTCTTTTCTTCTGCACATTGGAGGATTGCGTACATCTGTGCTTGAAAAACTGAGCCAAACTACTCCAATGAGTAGCTGAGGCTAGTCTCCAGATGTTTGGAGTATACTCTTGCTCCTGACCCATTTGCAGTCTTGGAACCGTATGTATACCAGACCTTTCCCTGCAATATGGTGCTGAGTTCTCCATCATTCCATTCAGATCCGTCTGGTATGAACACTCTGAATGAAGTGTTGAATATATATCGATTCGAAATGTGATCTGTTCTCATGTTAAGTATGTCCTTGTTCACTTTTCTGACGATGCTCATATGTCCTGTTCCTATATATGTTAACATTGCCCAGTTTATTTTGCAGTATGGAGGCACCAAGCCTCGCCTCTCCCTGTACCCTGTACCATCAAGTGGAGGGGAGGCAGATCCAGTAGTGTTACCATGACTGCGGTTGGCGTTAACCTCAAAGCTCCCGTAATTCCTAGACATGCAAGTCTTTGTGTCTTGCTTAGTCTTGTTATGACCCCTCTTTGGCCACCATACCAGCAAGGCATATGTTATGGAAGGCATCACCACCCTGTTATACAACCACTACAGCATGTGTGGTCACAGTCCCCATTTGTTTCCTCAAGAGCGTCTGGTCATCATCAATGGATTGTTTTATTTTTATTATTATTTTGTTTCATTGGACGTGTCAATCCCAAATATCCGCCAGTGATGTGAAAATGTCCGATTTTGTGAAATAATATCCTCCCCTAACTTTTTCCGCACTAAATGTTTTCTGTCTTTGGATTTACACTGAAGACCACCGAGTGCACTATCGTATCTAACATATCGCAACATCGGAAATTGAGCAACAGAAATGCCTAAATCTTTCGATCCATTCCCGTCACGTGATATGTTGAGATTCATATTTTTTCGATGATTATTGTTCGCAATAAAATTGTGGAGGCTTTGTTCGGTCAAAGAGTTTTTTCTGCTCCACTACTATCATGGCGTCAGCCCACTGTAATCATTTGTGTAGTGATTTAGGCTTTCGAGATCCGGAAGGTCTCGTTAAATTTTTTCTACGAGCCAATGCGCATACGTTCATAATGTATCACGTGATACACTGTGACCAATCTGACAATGAGATTTGAGAATGGTTCGAAAACTTTAGGTTCTCTTTTAAGCAACAGGGTTATCAAGGCTATGTACATGTTTTCTACCTTACGCCACCTGGCGGGGTATTTGAAAGCTATTAACGCGGTCTGTTACATTTTGGTTTTTGATCGTGCTTCTATGAAAACAAACCGCTCAGAAGCAAGGATGTCAAGTCACCAATTATAATCGATTCATCAAACAGATAAGAGTCCTGTCGTTGAATATAATACGAGATAAATCATAATGTAAGGAAGCCATGATATAATAGTTCGTTATTTACTTTTTGAAGCAACCAGCATGTCTAAATATCTCTTATACTCCATAACAAAATATTATGTTGATGTTGAAGACTTGGCAACAATGTGTTGAATGCTGAGAACTGAGAAGGCAAATTTCGCATTCGGACTAAAGTTTCATAGTTGAAAACTCTATGATGTTACATCACAAATGTATTCGCTCGTCGTTAATATAGTTGGATACAAAATATTTTTATCCGAAGTCGTAAATCGTTATTGTCCGCGCTTAGGTCAGGTGTATAAATAATACTTTGGAGGCAATTATATTAACTTTAATTAAATTGTTTATCGCAACAAATTGATCTTAATGATCTTGGAGCATATACCTATTGGTGGTCGATTGATTTTTTAGGAGTTGGTTGCAATATTGTAGTAAATATAGCCGCTGACACATCATTGATGATGAATTTTCAACGGAAGTGAGTGCGATTTCTGCAGAATAGTTTTTCCAAGAATTCGAATGATTTTATGGATATAAAATAATAGTTTTTCTACTACTGCTATGAAAAGTAGCGCATTTCTCATAGCTTCCTTAGTTTCAAAACCATGTATTGCCCATTCTGTGAAAAATATTTTTTCCCACGGCACTTTGCCAACACCACATACATTTCCATCGAGAATCAACAAAAATCGACCAAAACTTGGCTGCTGTTCAGCTTTGAATAGTTGTCACACCTGTCAGAAGAAGTTTTTTAAATTCTCTAGGGTAGTTCTCATTAGTGCTTTCGATAGAAATCGCATTTTCCATCAAATATTGTTCCAACAATTCATAATAAATAATATGATGTAGATACCGAGATGTGACGATTTTGATACACCGCCAGAGACAGAGATAATGGAAAAAGCTGCGGAAGTTGGATTTGTTTCCGGAAATTTCGAGGAAAAAGTATGAATTGGCATGTTGGTACGAAAAATTCATGGAATTTAATTACCATGGTAAACTCAAGATTAATTAATGAAAACATCCTGTAACTCATTTGATTGCCAACGTCACCAATTGTCATTGAAAACTGAAAAGCTTCAAGACATATTATACGACTTCGCAATTGAAAAAATCTCTTTTCATGTTGAAAACGGGAGCAGAATCGGTCCCGAAACGTCCAAAGATAAGTGAAAATTTGATATTTTTCCTATATACCTTTATTTCTCTTCTCCAAAAATTTTTTCAATACAAATTGTCACTGACAAGCTAGTGAATTTTTCTTTTAGGCTCTCTGATAGGAAAATTCTTTAAACGCAGTGACATTTTGGGGCAAATCATCTGATTTGTCCTTACTACACGTATATTGAAATAATATTCATATTTTTATTTTATAGAAACGAGGAGAGAAAATCCCAAAAAAATTGGAATAATGAATGTACCACCTCCTCGATTGCCCTACAGACAGTATTGGCCATTGAATAGTTCACTTTTTTATTTTGTTTTTTTATCGCTTGGAGCGCACGAAAGGGAATCCCTATAATGTTCAAAGAACATCGTGCGTCCCTAGGGAGGATAGGGACAGGAGGTAGGTATTGGAATTTTTTTTGAACTTTTGGAGATTATATGTTGTTGGGAATACTTCCACAGGCAATGAATTCCAGAGCCTAGCCGTTCTATGGATGAAGGAGTTTTGATAAAGTGCTGTTCGACATCTTTCGAGGTTGACAACGAAAGGATGTGCTGACTGGGCTTGTCCAGTTCGTCTGACTGGTATTGCTAGTGAAGGGATGATAGCAGAGATTTCCGAAGAACATTTCCCGTGGAAGTATCGATAGAAAGGTGAAAGGTCGCTGACCTTTCTACGATGTGTCACCCACCAGGCGAATGGCTCTTCTCTGGATGGAATCTAAGAGCATCAGCGTATGTTTTGGTGCTGAACCCCATATGTGGGAACAGTATTCTAGAACAGGCCGTATCTGAGTGAAATCATTTGAAAAGTGATAATAATAATAATAATAATAATAATAATAATCTCTATTGGTCCTTTTGATCACTCATATGATATAGGATACGTCACAGTATTGTATACATAAGTAACAACAAATAACAACATCAAAAACAAAAAAGAGTATAAGAGGACAAGGGTACAATATAATTACATAAACATAACATAACATAAATGTATATGTATATGAATGGTCAATAATAGAACAATACTAATTAGTACTTTACATGATAATCACATCTTGAGATATGCATCCAATGAATAAAAGCAATTTTCAATTAGGAATTTTTTAAGGGCTGTGATAAACTTCCTGCTTTCATTAGTATTCTTTATTTCTTGTGGCAATTTGTTGTAAATCATCAAACCCATATATGCAGGTGAGTTTTGTGATACCCTGTATTTATAATGTGGAATATGAAAATTTTCTTTCTGTCGTGTATTCGCGTTATGAATGTTGTTATTCAGAGGAAATTTAGTTTTGTTCTTAAAAATGTAGTTGCATAATTCATAAATGTATAAAGAAAATATTGTCAGAACATTATATTTAACAAACAATTCTCTACAAGAGTTGGTTGAAGGAACGCCTGCAACTACTCTCAATATTC